TCACCATCAGACAACGAGAACAAAGCAATTTAAGTCGCTACAGCATCACTGTGTTTTAGCACTTGCAGTGGTAGCAATCGATGCAGTTCGTATCGTTTTACTGACTAAAGCTACAATGCGAGATGTAGATGTGGAATGCAGGTCCTAAAAAGCCACAGAGGTGCAGTTGATTAAGTTTAAGGGGTTCCTTAAATACGGGCGACGGAGGGCAGTGCCAGAACAGCATGCAGGCCGCCTTAATGGATTGGTGCTCATTAATTAATTTTTTTAAATGTTGCCCCAATAGCATATAACGAGCACCAGAAAAGCAAGACTTATGACAAACAAGGAGATGGTGAAATTTCGTTCATTAGTAGTAAAGAATTAATTAATCAAAACCAAATTATTTACGCTAATATTAAAACTTAATGAGTTGATCAATGAAAACCAAGACTCGTTGACCTAGTAATCACTTATGCATGATAATCGATCCACAAATTCGTAGAACAAGACGATGAAACATATAAAGAATAAAATACTTTAACCAACAAGCCGGTTAAATCTGAAGATTTATGCGAAATGAGAAAATCTCCTTATGTCTGGAAATCTGCCACTGATACACAATTTTGGCTCCAGACAAAAAGCTCATCAAAAAAAGACAAGACAAAAATGATATTAGTTGGAGCATTAAAGACGGATAAAGCAGAGGCAAATTTGTTAGAAATGCAGAATAAAATTCTAGTCTGATTGACAAAATAAAGAATACTGAGACCGTATGAGACAGGTGTTTACAAGATGGAATGTCATTCCTTCGACGAGATCGATGAAAGTCGGATCCCTCACCTGAAAAACTGGGCACCGCTGAACCCTGTTCACACCCGCAAATGAATCAAAGTGGACTACGCCGTCGTCCGTGGCAAACGATGAAGATTCTTCTCACGTTTAAAACATCCATAAGCTCTGTTGTCAGAGTAAGTACAGACTAACTCCAGATATAACTAGCGGCTTCGTATAGGCACTGCTGAACAGAGTCCAGCTATTACGCGAGGCTGAGCAGGCCAAGCTGCGACAACGCGAAAACGACAATAACGATTTCGAAATAACAGTCAACAACTAAGCTGAAAACGCCAGAATCGCTGACGGCCATAGAGATCTTAAAGAAAGTTCTATAACTGATGAGGATAATATTGCCAGAATCCGTTATCAAACTTGTCCTCATTAGCAGTAAGCTAGCAACTATGCATCGCCGCTCCTTCAATACTTTCTATTTTCAAGTTTCTGTCTGCACTCCTAACCAAGCAATCCTGCCATCAGATCATCCAGCGCGGCATTTGGACAACGACTCGATGTTGTTGGTCCAGCGGAACAAAGTAATTTTGTAATTCTTCACGTCCACCGGTTGCCCCTCAGGTGAGTAACATGACGGTTCACATCTCAGCGTTGCAGAGATTACACATGTTAAGCCAGAGTGTTACAGAATTTGTGCGCATAAAACGTGACCATAGAGGTACAACATCTACACTTTTCGTTCCATCTTCTTTGCGTGATCATCAGTTCGTTCCACGCAGTTCTGGCAGCAAAACAACATTCAGCGCCGAAAATCATGGCAGGTAT